ACCGGCGGCTTCCTCCCAAGCCACCTCTCCAAAGGCACCCACGAGTCATCCCCAACCTTGGTGAGCACCCTGTTCCTAGCGACGGTAGCGTGCCGAACAGCATGAGGCCACATAGAATTGCTCAGCCCAGATTCTATGAGCAGCGCCCTAGCTGTCTCCAGAATGGTCCGGTTTGCCCGTTCTGCTACACCATTGGACTGTGGGGTGTAAGCCGTGGTCAGCTCTCTCTGGATGCCCTGCTTCTTGAGCCAAGCCGTCATTTCAGCTCCAAGGAACTCACCACCCCGGTCTGTCCTAATCCGCTTCACTACACACTCCGCCTGCTTCTCCACGAACGGCAGCCAATCGTCCCGTATCGTGGAGGCGGCGTAGTCCTTCTGCTTCAGCGGATACGCCCACATCAGCCTGCTCCAGTCATCCACAATTGTAAGAAAATACTGCTCCCCCTTGTGCCCTTGCACCGGCAGCGGCCCCACCAAGTCCATGTGGACCAGCTCCAAAGGCTTCTTGCTCCTGCCAGCCACACTATGGAAAGGGAAACGGGTGAACTTTGAAAGCAAACAGATTTCACAGTTGTCATCGGGTGGCTGTCCGTTCAGCTTCAAACCTTTGACAGCTCCATCTTTCTCCAGCTGCTTCAGCAAAGGCATTGCCACATGCCCTAAGCGTCGGTGTGCCGTTGCCCAATCCGTCTCCCCAGATCTGGCCGACACTTTCACGCCAACCCCTCCAACGGCGTTGCACTCCCCCTGGGATGCAGACCCCTCTCTAGCCTGCCCCCCACCGTGCCACGCCAACGCCGGCAGCTGCCATATGGATCTGTACACGTCCTTGCTCTCGTGCAGATCCCAAAGCACCCGATTGCCCAGCTGCCCCTTGTACGTGCGAGCCCCATCCGTGCTAGTGCTCACCCCAGCCTTGGCAAGCTTACGGAGAAGAGATGAGGTTGGCCTTGAGGTCGGGGACGAGGAGAACATCGTGCAGCACCACCGGCTTGCCATCCGCTCCCTTAAACGCAGCTCGTCCCGCACCAGCCACCTTCAGCGCGTGTCCAGAGGCGGAGCACACCTCGTTAATCGGTGCAGCGCGTACGTCTTCCAGTAGGTCTTTGCGCGGCGTCATCGTCCAAGCAGCGCCCGTGTCCAACACCCAATAGTCCAGGGGGTGCAGCTCTGCTCCAACCTTGGCAGAAAAGCTCCTTACTCCCCCTGCTCTCCAATATGGAAGAATTGGCCCGTGGTGCGCTCCTTCTTCTTCTCCGCACGACCGTTGCTTTTCGGGTAGTTTTCGGACGAATCAGCGACCATGTTTGCGCCGTTTTTCTGGTTCCTTCGCGCGCCGCCATCCTGGTGACGATTTTGGGGGGTCCATCCATCGGGTTTCTTATAGCACAAAAACCAGGGGTGCCCTTCCTTCTCACAATACCAGCAACTCCCTTTCATTTTGCCACCAGCACCCGACTTGCCCCCACGTCCAGATTTCGCACCGCGACCCCAACCGGTACCTCCTTGTTGGTCGTTGGAGTCGTCGTCCTTCTTTGCACCGCGCCCAGCACCACCGAAGCCACGTCCTCTGCCACGTCGGTTCCCTTGCATCCCGTAGCCGCTGCTGCCGTCGTCCCCACCCCTCAGTTGGCGGCGACGGAAGTCCTCCTCCAGAATCTTCGTCCGCACCCACTCGAGCGTCCACGAGCTCTGGTTCTGCGGCAGGCTCAATCCGCTCGTGAATTGAAGCCACGATTCCGGCAGCAGCGAGAGCATCTTCAGGCACTTGGTCTGCTCCGGGTAGGTGATTCCCGCGGTCGCCAACTTCGCGTAGAGGTCGCGCATCTTGTCCAGAACTGGTTGCACCGGCTCTCCCTCGCTCAATCGCAACGCGGACAGCTCTCTCTCCATCATAAGCGTCGCGGCGAATCCGGGTCATAGCCATGCGATAGAATCAGCATTGCCTCTTCCGTCCCAAGCTGCTGCTCCGCTACACCTGATCCTGCAGTCAGCTTTTTAGTAGCCATACGGGTACGTCCTGGCCTGGAGACGGGTGTCTCCCATCCCCTCATAACGATACCCTTCGGCTTTTTAGTTTTACCCTACTGCTGCTCTCCTCCCTCGGATCCAGCAGCTCCACTAGTGCTGCCGCCAGTTTCCACACCATTTTCTCCACCAGCAGGTGCCTCCTGTACCTTCTCTCCATCACCATTCCCCGCAGCTGCCTCCTCTCCCTCCTCCCACACACTAGGAGTCAGGTCCAGCTGCATGGTGATCTGCTCCATCTGCTGGGACACCCGGGCCTCCGGCTGTTTCTCCCAGCTCCCATACATCATGCCCTCAATGAATTTCACATCCCTACTGTCAAACAACACACCCTTGGATGGTTCCCACAGCAGCCATCCCTTGCTCTCAGCAGCCAGCCCCAAATGCACACACCAGATTGCACTTGCCCCCAACTTATTGCGGTAGGTCTTGGGGACGTGGGTGACTGCCATGCAACCGAACACCCTCAGCATGTCCATCGGCGGCTTCCTCCCAAGCCACCTCTCCAAAGGCACCCACGAGTCATCCCCAACCTTGGTGAGCACCCTGTTCCTAGCGACGGTAGCGTGCCGAACAGCATGAGGCCACATAGAATTGCTCAGCCCAGATTCTATGAGCAGCGCCCTAGCTGTCTCAAGAATTGTCCAGTTCGCCCGTTCTGCTACACCGTTAGACTGTGGGGTGTAAGCCGTGGTCAGCTCTCTCTGGATGCCCTGCTTCTTGAGCCAGGCTGTCATTTCAGCTCCAAGGAACTCACCACCCCGGTCTGTCCTGATCCGCTTCACCACACACTCCGCCTGCTTTTCCACGAACGGCAGCCAATCGTCCCGTATCGTGGAGGCGGCGTGGTCCTTCTGTTTCAGCGGATACGCCCACATCAGCCTGCTCCAGTCATCCACAATTGTAAGAAAATACCGCTCCCCCTTGTGCCCTTGCACCGGCAGCGGCCCCACCAAGTCCATGTGGACCAGCTCCAAAGGCTTCTTGCTCCTGCCAGCCACACTATGGAAAGGAAAACGGTTGAACTTTGAAAGCAAACAGATTTCACAGTTGTCATCGGGTGGCTGTCCGTTCAGCTTCAAACCTTTGACGGCTCCATCCTTCTCCAGCTGCTTCAATAAGGGCATTGCCACATGCCCCAAGCGTCGGTGTGCCGTTGCCCAATCCGTCTCCCCAGATCTGGCCGACACTTTCACGCCAACCCCTCCAACGGCGTTGCACTCCCCCTGGGATGCAGACCCCTCTCTAGCCTGCCTCCCGCCGTGCCACGCCAACGCCGGCAGCTGCCACATGGATCTGTACACGTCCTTGCTCTCGTGTGTCAACGGGAGTTGTATGTTGGCCCCGTCCTCGCTTGGGCGGTGCCGACTTCGTGGTCGGGTGTAGGGTGCAGCCGACCTGCAGCAGTGGGCGAGTTGGTCGACGAGGTTGGTCGACCTGCACGGGGAGCCACTGCATGGGCGCCGACTTCGTGAGGGCGCCAACTTCGGGTGGTCGACCTGGGAAGTCGACCAGACCTTCTGGTCGACCTGGGAAGTCGACCAGACCTTCTGGTCGACCTGGTAAGTCGACCAGCCCTTCTGGTCGACTTGGGAAGTCGACCACACCTTCTGGTCGACCCGGTAAGTCGACCAGCCCTTCTGGTCGACCTGGTAAGTCGACCAGACCTTCTGGTCGACCTGGGAAGTCGACCAGACCTTCTGGTCGACCTGGTAAGTCGACCAGCCCTTCTGGTCGACTTGGGAAGTCGACCAGACCTTCTGGTCGACCTGGTAAGTCGACCAGCCCTTCTGGTCGACTTGGGAAGTCGACCAGACCTTCTGGTCGACCTGGTAAGTCGACCAGCCCTTCTGGTCGACTTGGGAAGTCGACCAGACCTTCTGGTCGACCTGGAGTGACGTCGACTTGGAGCTGGTCGACCAGGGGGTAGTGGTCGACCTGGGGAGGTCGACTGGAGGTGGCCGTCGACTTGGGAGGTCGACCGGCACATACCAGAGGCAGTGGTCGACCTGGGGAGGTCGACCGGAAGTGGTCGTCGACCTGGGTGGTCGACGGGCACGCACAGGAGCCTCTGGTCGACCTGGTTGCTCGGTCGACCAGGTTACCTGGGTGACGAGGTTCTGCGGAGGCATGCGACGTTCGCCCGGGTGGTTTTGGCGAGGACGACCTCGGTGATGGTATCCCGAGGTCGACGTGGTGCATCAGAGGCAGTCGTCAGCACGTAGTTGATGTGGTGTGTGCGCTGTGCAGGTGACGAGGCACTGCACGCCAATCATCTGCGAAGTAGGTGCGCTGCTGTCCTGCGGGAGCAACGTCGGCGCGCCGTCAACCTGCGACGTTGGCACGCCGTCGACCTGCAGTGTTGGCAAGCCGCGACTCTGCACTGCTGGGGCGCGGTCGACCAAGTCATGCTGGCACGCGGTCGACCGTGCTGCGCTGGCAGTCGTCCTGCTTGCATGCTAGCTCTGATGTAGTCTTGCCTTGCCAACTTCATTGTATCATTGTTGTCAACTTTCTCTAGTAAAACTCTTGCCAAATTACCTTGTGAACTAGCAAGCAGTGTGTACACTAGGAAAACGACTAAGGACCAACGAACGCAGAGATCACACGAGCACCCGTGCCTAGCCCGTAGTCTAGCTCCCGTTGTAGTAGTTATCTCCGCATGGTGCGGTGAGCGTGGACGGCACACGACTTACTTTTCAGTCGGGTCGACGTAGACATCACTTACCTAATTCGTCGTTGTAGGCCGGCAGCTGTGCGTTGGTCACTATGGTAGGAGCCGTAGGTGACGCAGGGGTGGTGGACACCCTGGAGGCACGGCTGGAGGACGCGAGGAGACGCCATGACGCCCAGGAGTACGGAGCAATACCCTGGGCGGTCGTCGAGGCTGGACTCCGCACCATGTGGGCGACGGAGCACCCTTCTCGACCTGCCTCTCCTCGACCGGTGAACGACGAAGGCGGCGTCGACATGGGCGTCAACGCCGGTGGTGGTCAAGTCGGCAGCAGTGCGGGAGGCACGTCAAGGCAGCGTGGTGTGATTCACGCCGATGAAGTCGGCGTCGTTCAGGCGCGAGGGATGCGGTCGTCGGCGGCTGCAGGCTCCTTGCAGGGTGACGTCAGAGGTCGACGAAGTGGATCTGTGCCGATGTCGGCGACCCAGGTGACAGCAGGCGGGATTGCACCGAGCTACGGCTACTTCAAGTTCACGCCGGACAGGATCTTGGTCACTCCGCCGCTCACTGGTCGACCCGACATACTCACCTGGAAGGAAGCCATCGAGCCCCAGCTGGAAATGGCCGGGCTGATCAGCTTTGCTCGAGGCACCGTGGCGACGCCGGACGATCCCGACTTGCGTGCGGAGTTTCGTGCCGTGCAGCTGTTGACCTTCACAGTCATCTCCCGGTGCTGCTCGCCGGGCGTGCAGATCGCCTTGAAGTGGTGCCGAGAGTACCTCGACGCCGGCCACCGGGCGTGGCACTTCATCGAGTCGACCTACCAAGTCACCGACGACTTGTTCATCGCACAGCTGGAGGGGCAGCTGACGCACCTGCGTATGGGCGACGAGGAGACGGCGACCGACTACTGCAATCGGGCCCGGCGAATTCTCGCCACCATCAGGATGGCTGGCGCGCAGTACTCGACGGCGTCGTACGTCACCCACGTCATGCAGGGACTCTCGAGTAGCTACAACCTTCTGAAGCGGCTGTCAATGGCGCCGAGCACCAGGACGACGCTCAACGAGGACAACTTGACCTCGTACATCCTGCAAGACGAGGCAATGCAGGAGGCAGAGCGGTCACAGGAGCTCTTGGCACAGGCGAACCTCGTCGCCCCGGCGAAGCAAGGAAGTCGACCGGGGCAGCGCGGACAGCCTGGCGGCGGTGGTAGCAGTGGCTGGAAGCTGGCCAAGGAAGTCGACAAGAAGAAGTCGACCAAGGACAGCGGTCGAGGAGGAGGAAGTCGACGTCGGGAGTGCTGGCTGTGTGGCGACCCCGACCATCTCTCCTTCGAGTGCCCTGACCGCAGTGACTCCGACGACGACGCCAAGGGTGGCCGCGGGAGGTCGGGCAGTCGTCGTCCTCGGCGAGGAGGAAACCAGTCACGCAATGAGAAGACGTCGACCAAGTCGTCGACCTCGGCGAAGGACGCCGACTCCTCTGCTGGCGGCAAGGGGAAGGACGACAAGTCGGCGTCGTGCTCTCTGGTCGGCGTCGTGGAGCCGACCGTCTCGCAAGCGCCGGAGGCCGGCGAGGACTTCCAGGCGGTGGCGGCAGCTGTGCAGGCGAATCCGGCGGTGGTCCTGCTCGACAGCGGCTGCTCCCACCACCTGATGGGGACGAAGGACGCCTTCGTCGACTTGGGGCCAAGCGGCGACGTGAAGCACGTGCGTGGCTTCAATGGGGCGCTGCAGGACGTCCAGGGCCGCGGCACCGTCGCCCTGCAAGGCGAGGCCGGGAAGCAGGTGCTCATCCCCGACGTACTGTACGTCCCGGGTGTGCGGGCAAACCTGCTGTCGTCTGGCCAGCTGAAGGAGCACGGCGTGAAGCTGCACGAGGACGGCGACGGGATGCTGCTCGTCTCGGCAGCAGGAGAGGTGCTTGGTCGGGCGACGTACTCCGGGCGAGTCCTCTGCACCGACCTGCGTCCCTGCTCGACGAAGTCGACGTCACCCACGCCGGAGGTTGTGGCCCTGCGGGCGATCGTCTCGAAGACGAGGTCGACGCCGGACAGGCTGCATGCTCGGCTTGCACACATTGGCATGGACACCATCAGGCGCTCGGCGAAGAACGAGGTCGTCATTGGGCTGGACCTCAAGTCGGCGACGGGCGCCGACTCACCGTGTGTCTCGTGTGTCGGCGGGAAGCTGGCGAGGCACACCTTCCCCGACCACGGCTCCGACGCCGACGACGTGTTGGCCGTCGTACACATCGACTTGTGCGGGCCATTCCGCGTGGCTGCCAAGGACGGCAGCCTGTACTTCTTGCTGCTAAAGGACCGCAAGACTCGCTACGTGTGGGTGCGGCCGGTCGCCAAGAAGTCCGACGTGCTGCGGGAGTTCGAGCAGTGGCTGGTGATGGCGGAGCGACAGACCAAGAAGTCGGTGCTAATGCTGCGCTCTGACCGGGGAGGGGAGTTCCTCGGAAAGGACTTCACCGCCCTCGTGGACGGCAAGGGGATCCTCCACGACCTCACCTGCCCATACACTCCGCAGCAGAACGGCATGGCGGAGCGGGAGATGAGGACGGTGGTGGAGTCGGTGCGGACGATGCTGCTGCACATGGGCGTCCAGCACCACTGGTGGCACCTCGCTTTGCGGCAGGCTGTCTGGGTCCGCAACTGCCTGGAGAGGTCGGCGACGCCGGGGACGACACCGTACCAGTTGCTCACCGGGAAGAAGCCCGACTTGTCGCTGGCGCGCGTGTGGGGCTGCATGGCGCAGTTCCTCGTCCCCGAGCAGCAGCGTGGTGGCAAGCTGAAGCCGAAGGCCAGATGGGGCCTTCATCTCGGCATGTCGGACGAGAGTAAAGGCTGGGAGCTCCTCGACATTGCCGACAACCGGGTGGTCACCACGTCGGACGTGGTGTTCTACGAGGACATGTCGCTGGAGGTGTGGAAGTCGGAGCACGGGCCAGTGTCCGGACGGACGCCGAGCACTCCGCCGACCGACACCTCGACGGCGACGCTGCCTCTGCTCGCGGCGGTCGGTGAGCTCGCTGCTGGGGACATCCCTGTCGACCATCCTCCTTCCCCTCCTCCCACGACCCATGTTTCTCCCCTCGTGGCCGACATGCGTGGACTGACTCCGGTGTCGGCCTCCGGCGATGAGGGGAGTAGTGGGACGTCGCCTGCGGCCAAGAGCATCGCCGGTGGCCGACGTGACGGGCAGCAAGTCGACGTGGGAGTGAAGTCGACGCCGACAGGGGAGCAGGCAGCAACAAGGCCGACCAAGGAGCAGTCGGCGACCTGGCAGTCGACAGGGGAGCTGACCGCAGGGGAGGAATCGGTCGGGACGCCGACCGAGGTGCAGCAGGACGACGAGGACGATGAAGGGGAGCAGTTGGGCGACGAGGAGTCCACCGACAGTGACGTGGGAGAGGCCCAGGCTGGACCACGGCGTACAGGCCGCCTTCGGAGGCCTCCCGACTTCTTCGTCCCGGCTGCCTTCACCACGGTGTATGATGTGGTCGACGAGGACGACGACCTGCTGTACGACGACGTTGATGAAGATGTAGACCTGCTGAAGCTCGACCCCGACATGCACGCCGACCCCGAGCACCGTTGGGATATCTCCACGATGACGGTGAAGGAGGCGCTGGCTAGCTGGAAGGGTCCAGCGGTGAAGGCCGCCATGGAGGAGGAGATCCGCAGCCTCATCGGCATGGGGACGTGGGAGCTGGTCGAACGCCCACCCGGGGTCAACATCATGAAGAACCGGTGGGTGTTGACGACGAAGTACCACATCGACGACACCGTCGAGCGCGAGAAGGCGAGGCTGGTTGTGAAGGGCTTGACGCAGGTGTATGGCGCCGGTGAGCAGCTACGTCACGCTGCGGATTTTCCTCAGCATCGTCGCCGTCTTCGACCTCAACCTGATGCAGCTCGACATGAAGAATGCCTTCCTGCAGAGCAAGCTCGACCGCGTGCTGTACATGTACCAGCCGGACTACTTCAATGACGGGACCGGCCGGGTGTGCAAGCTGCTGAAGAGCCTGTACGGGCTGAAGCAGTCGCCGCTGCTGTGGTACAAGGCTCTCAACGACGTGCTGGTCGGCGCTGGCTGGAAGAAGAGTCAGGTCGACGAGGCTCTCTACTTCAAGGTCGGCGTCGACAAGGTGACCTGTTGGGTGCTGGTCTACGTCGACGATCTGCTCGCCGCCAGCAGCAGCCCCGAGATGCTGAAGGAGCTGCTGGAGGCCGCCTTCGAGCTGCGCGAGATCTCACCGGTGCAGAAGTACCTCGGGCTGGAGATCGTGCGCGACAGGTCGGCGGGGAAGCTGTGGCTGCACCAGCAGGGCTACGCCGACAAGCTGCGTAGGCGTTTCATCGATGAGGAGCAGGGCGGTCGGACCCCGAAGACGCCGGTCTCGGTCGACGCCTACGCCGAGCTCACCTTCGATGACGAGGAGGCGCAGGAGCGACAGGAGGAGGAGTACCGGCAGAAGGTCGGCTCGCTGCAGTTCGCGGCGACGACGACGAGGCCGGATATCGCCTTCGCCTGCAGCAAGCTGGGGAGCGGCCTCACGGTGAGGAGCGACCAGCACTGGCGCGAGGTCGACCGCTGCCTTGCCTACCTCGCCAACACGCGTGACACCGCCCTGGAGTTCGGCGGTGGACCTGAGTCGCTGGAGCTAGTCGGCTACGTGGACGCCGACGATGCCGGCGACAAGCAGAACAGGACGAGCACGGGCGGCTACGTGTTCGTCTACGGAGGAGCCGCAGTCTCCTGGTCGAGCCAGCGCATCAAGTGCGCGACGCTGTCGTCGACCGAGTCGGAGTACGTGGCGGCTGTCGAAGCTGGCAAGGAGGGACGCCGACTTCGCTTCCTCCTGGCAGAGTTCCAGCAGCTAGATGCTGGGAGGCCGACGGTCCTAAGGGTGGACAACAAGTCGGCCATCACAGTCGCCGAAGGCATGGGGTTGACGGGCAACCTCAAGCACATGGAGCGGCGACAGGCCTGGCTGCAGCACATGGTGAAGCGGGGGAAGTTTGCGCTGCAGTACATCCCAACCGCTGAGCAGCCGGCCGACTTCTTGACGAAGGCGCTGCACTATCCGGCCTTCAACCGGTGCTCCGTTGCAATCGGCCAAGTGCGTCTGGCCGACGTGGGCGACGGCGACGACGATGTGCAGCAGTAGGTGCCATGCCCTCTTGCATGGCTGGTGCGGTGGACAACGTGCTGTGGGTTGGGTGCACGTCGACGAGCTTTTCTCCGAGAAGTACTGTCGTGTGGGCTGGGGGCCCAAGCGTGAACGTGGCAGGGGAGTGTCAACGGGAGTTGTATGTTGGCCCCGTCCTCGCTTGGGCGGTGCCGACTTCGTGGTCGGGTGTAGGGTGCAGCCGACCTGCAGCAGTGGGCGAGTTGGTCGACGAGGTTGGTCGACCTGCACGGGGAGCCACTGCATGGGCGCCGACTTCGTGAGGGCGCCAACTTCGGGTGGTCGACCTGGGAAGTCGACCAGACCTTCTGGTCGACCTGGGAAGTCGACCAGACCTTCTGGTCGACCTGGTAAGTCGACCAGCCCTTCTGGTCGACCTGGGAAGTCGACCACACCTTCTGGTCGACCCGGTAAGTCGACCAGCCCTTCTGGTCGACCTGGGAAGTCGACCAGACCTTCTGGTCGACCTGGGAAGTCGACCAGACCTTCTGGTCGACCTGGGAAGTCGACCAGCCCTTCTGGTCGACTTGGGAAGTCGACCAGACCTTCTGGTCGACCTGGTAAGTCGACCAGCCCTTCTGGTCGACTTGGGAAGTCGACCAGACCTTCTGGTCGACCTGGTAAGTCGACCAACCCCTTCTGGTCGACCTGGGAAGTCGACCAGACCTTCTGGTCGACCTGGAGTGACGTCGACTTGGAGCTGGTCGACCAGGGGGTAGTGGTCGACCTGGGGAGGTCGACTGGAGGTGGCCGTCGACTTGGGAGGTCGACCGGCACATACCAGAGGCAGTGGTCGACCTGGGGAGGTCGACCGGAAGTGGTCGTCGACCTGGGTGGTCGACGGGCACGCACAGGAGCCTCTGGTCGACCTGGTTGCTCGGTCGACCAGGTTACCTGGGTGACGAGGTTCTGCGGAGGCATGCGACGTTCGCCCGGGTGGTTTTGGCGAGGACGACCTCGGTGATGGTAAACCGAGGTCGACGTGGTGCATCAGAGGCAGTCGTCAGCACGTAGTTGATGTGGTGTGTGCGCTGTGCAGGTGACGAGGCACTGCACGCCAATCATCTGCGAAGTAGGTGCGCTGCTGTCCTGCGGGAGCAACGTCGGCGCGCCGTCAACCTGCGACGTTGGCACGCCGTCGACCTGCAGTGTTGGCAAGCCGCGACTCTGCACTGCTGGGGCGCGGTCGACCAGGTCGTGCTGGCACGCGGTCGACCGTGCTGCGCTGGCAGTCGTCCTGCTTGCATGCTAGCTCTGATGTAGTCTTGCCTTGCCAACTTCATTGTATCATTGTTGTCAACTTTCTCTAGTAAAACTCTTGCCAAATTACCTTGTGAACTAGCAAGCAGTGTGTACACTAGGAAAACGACTAAGGACCAACGAACGCAGAGATCACACGAGCACCCGTGCCTAGCCCGTAGTCTAGCTCCTGTTGTAGTAGTTATCTCCGCATCGTTCATGCAGATCCCAAAGCACCCGATTGCCCAGCTGCCCCTTGTACGTGCGAGCCCCATCCGTGCTAGTGCTCACCCCAGCCTTGGCAAGCTTACGGAGGGAGATGAGGTTGGCCTTGAGGTCGGGAACGAGGAGAACGTCGTGCAGCACCACCGGCTTGCCATCCGCTCCCTTAAACGCAGCTCGTCCCGCACCAGCCACCTTCAGCGCGTGTCCAGAGGCGGAGCACACCTCGTTAATCGGTGCAGCGCGTACGTCGTCCAGCAGGTCTTTGCGCGGCGTCATCGTCCAAGCAGCGCCCGTGTCCAACACCCAATAGTCCAGGGGGTGCAGCTCTGCTCCAACCTTGGCAGAGGCGTCTCCTTGCTCCCCCTGCTCTCCAATATGGAAGAACTGGCCCGCGGTGCGCTCCTTCTTCTTCTCCGCACCACCGTTGCTCTTCGGGTTGTTGTCGGACGAATCAGCGACCATGTTCGCGCCGTTTTTCTGGTTCCTTCGCGCGCCGCCATCCTGTTGACGATTCTGGGGGGTCCATCCATCGGGTTTCTTATAGCACAAAAACCAGGGGTGCCCCTCCTTCTCACAATACCAGCAACTCCCTTTCATTTTGCCACCAGCACCCGACTTGCCCCCACGTCCAGATTTCGCACCGCGACCCCAACCGGTACCTCCTTGTTGGTCGTTGGAGTCGTCGTCCTTCTTTGCACCGCGCCCAGCACCACCGAAGCCACGTCCTCTGCCACGTCGGTTCCCTTGCATCCCGTAGCCGCTGCTGCCGTCGTCTCCACCCCTCAGTTGGCGGCGACGGAAGTCCTGAACCTTCGTCCGCACCCACTCGAGCGTCCACGAGCTCTGGTTCTGCGGCAGGCTCAATCCGCTCGTGAATTGAAGCCACGATTCCGGCAGCAGCGAGAGCATCTTCAGGCACTTGGTCTGCTCCGGGTAGGTAATTCCCGCGGTCGCCAACTTCGCGTAGAGGTCGCGCATCTTGTCCAGAACTGGTTGCACCGGCTCTCCCTCGCTCAATCGCAACGCGGACAGTTCCCTCTCCATCATGAGCGTCGCGGCGACGGAGGTAGGAGCGTGCAGCTCCTTCAGCACGGTCCACGCCTTCGGACCGCAATCAACCTCCGGCAGCAGGTGCATGACGTGGTGACGCTGGTTCAGCTCCAAACTCTGCGACATCAAATAGTAGCCAGCCGATGCGCGCTCGTCCCAATCTTCCTGCAGCGCGGGGTCACTCGGTCTAGGCTCTTCCCCAATCATTAGTTTCAGCAATCCAATCTGACGGAAGTAAAGCTGCATTTTCCAGGCCCAATCATCATAGCCCTCACCATTGAACTTCTCGATGGTGAAATTCTTCAGCACCTCCTTGATCAGCGAGCTCTGGTTGGTTCGCGCTCCCCTTGGCGCCGAAACACCAGAATCTTGGCTACCGCTACGATCTTGGGCTGAAGATTCACCAGCTCCCGCCGAGGTGTTGCCCGCCATAGCTACCTATAACGAGGATCACTATAACGCAGGCTCTGATACCAGCTTGTTGGTGTAAGGGCCTAATAAACTCAAGCTATTAAGACTTAATCAAACTTAAAACCTCTCCTCAGGGTCACCTCCAAGGGTCCCTGGGTGCCTGGTACAAGACCAGCCCCTATCCTCGGGTCCGAGTTTGTAGAGAGAGGATGACTTAGCCAAAATAACAAGAGTACCTTGAACGTCGCGCAGCGTGCCGTGCAGCTCATCGATCGGATTAAGCTGAGAAGTCGCTATAACGAAGCTCGCTCCAAGAGCTTTAAAATAAGCCAAGTTGCCTCGCGAAAAGTTCTGCCATTACTAAGTTCTGGCTCGGACAGCGTTTGCCTAGCGTTGCAGTGCTAGCATACTAGCGTTGGAGTGCTAGCATACTAGCGCTGACTCGGGTAGCATTCCGCCAACGAACCGCGCAGAAACGAAACTCCAGCGAGGAAGGAATTCGCTTGAATCAATTGACTATTTTCAGGTACAAACAGAGAATGATTAAATAGTTCTAGCTAGCAAGGACCTTTGGAATCAACCTGGGAACAACCAGGGATGATTCCAAACCATTCCAAGCAACAGAACCAACCTGGCTGGACAAAATAGCAGGTGGTAGGCTGGTAAACAACCTCTGGTTCTGTTTTTCCAACCTGGGAAAACAACAACCAGGTTCAGGTTCTAAAAACAGAACCTGTTTTGTCTTTGCCCAACCAGCCAAATGCTGGTTCCGCTGGTTTCCCCTGGCCCTGTAGCATGCAGATACAGACAAAAAACATCCAACCTTCACCTAAATTGTACCCCTATAGTGCCTGCCCTGCTACACCATAGTCAACCAAGCAAACAGTACAATTTCGAGTTGGATAGAACTGAATCTGCGCAATCAATTCAACCGAACCGCAAAGCTTCCATCCTGGGTTCCTTTGCAAGCTCGTCCTTTCTGCTTGCACTGTTCATAGCGCGTACAATGTTGTGCCGAAGCGCACATTGCACGAGTACCTGCAAATGCATCAAGCGAAAATTGCGAAAGCAAACAAACACACGAACATTCCATTCACACCCAAATGCATTCGCACACGCATACTCGTACAAACAGACGGCAGGATGTCGTGCAATATGCATTTGCACCCAACACCTCTATCCCATATTACTCCCCCAGCTCTTTGATAAACTTCTCCTGGTGTAGCCTCAACTACCTGTGATCTAGATCTCTCTCCAAATGCATCCCGAGAACGTACTTTACCTCCCCAAGGTTCTTGCACTTGATGTTGTACATCAACTGCTGCTACAATTTCTGGATCTCCTTCATGCTGCTGCTAAAGAGAAGAATATCGTCCACGTAGACCAGAAACAGCACCAGCTTCTCCCCCTCCCCCTTGAGAAAGAGGCTCTCATCACAGCTGCTGGTCCTGAATCCCATCTCCTCTAAAACAGCTGCCAACCTCTGGTACCAGCAGCGTGGCGCCTGCTTCAAGCCGTAGATGGACTTTTTCAGCTTGCACACCCTGCCCGTATCATCCTCATACCCAGGCGGCTGCATCATGAACACCTCCTCCTCTAAAATATAGTTGAGGAATGCCGTTGATATATCCATCTGAATGATGAATTTCCCACTAACGGCTGCATCTGCCAACAAGACACGGAGGGTAGGAGGTTTGGCAGTGGGAGAAAAGGTCTCATTGAAGTTCTGCTTCTCCTTCTGCATAAACCCCTTAGCCACCAACCTGCTGTTGTAGATGGTGACCTGCCCTTTGTCATCGGTCTTGATCCTCAGCACCCACTTGCACTGTACGGCTTTCTTCCCCTCAGGCAGCACCACCAGATCCCATGTCCCATTCTCTAGCAGGCTTTGGTAGTCAGCATAAATTGAGCCCAGCCATTTAGCCCTATCTGGTCCAGCTAATGCCTCCTCCATGCTGGCTGGTTCCTCTGGTGCTGCACGACGTTCTCCTCGTTCCTGATCTCAAGGCCAACCTCATCTCCCTCCGTAAGCTTGCCAAGGCTGGGGTGAGCAC